GAGAAAATAAATTTAATAATTTATTTCTTTTAACAAAATAGAATCATTTAAGATTCTAAAAAAATCAACAATTTTTTTCTTTTTAAAAGATAGACACAATTCTCAAGAAAATAAATTCGACAATTTATTTTTATTACGAAGTTAGAATCATTTAAGAGTCTCAAGAATATAAATTCAACTATTTATTTTCGTTACAAAATTAGAATCATTTAAGATTCTCAAAGAAACAAATTCAACTATTTATTTTCCTTACAAAATTAGAATCAACGCAAGATTCTAACATGAAATAAATTCGATGATTTATTTTTTTAGTTTCTATATTCTGTTAAACGACAGGATTAATAACACTAAAACTTGAAATAGATATATCACGGTAACCCGATTTTGTTTAACAAACAGAAATCGAAATCAAAAGGAAATAATCCTTTGATTTAATTTTCGCAATCTAAAAATCGAAAAGAACTAGTTCTTTGATTTTAATTTCCGCAACACAAAAATTATAAGGAACTAATCATTTGATTTTACTTTTAACAACTAAATAATCAAAATGAACTATTCCTTTTATTTTACTTTTGGCATCTCAATAATAATAAAAACAAATCCTTTGATTTTACTTTTGATAATTCAATAATCAAAAGGAACTAATTATTTGATTTTACTTTTTGGTAACCCAATAAATAAAACCTTGAATTAAACTTCGAATTCGTTTTTATTTACAAAATTTATCAAAATAAATTATTAGTACGATAAATATATAATTATTATAATATTTAATAATAATTATAAATATCAAAGATGTTCTTTATTCATGCCATATTTAATATTCTACATTAAAAGGCCAAAAATTATATTGTAATAATATTATAGCAATTATATCATGAATACTATCATGGACCATGTTTAATGCTTACATGCACTTTCATGTGACAAATCTTACCATAACGATATTCCCAATAATGCCATAACATAATAAGAATTACATTAACTCTTTATTTTATTAATTCTTTATTTTCAAAAAGACAAATCACCATAAGATAGTCACCATGCGCTAATCATCATGCATTTGTGTATTTACACATGTTGACTCCTACGCGAGCTTACAAAACAATTTGTAAAAAGCTCATATATCATTGCGTATATTCAAATCAATCTCGCATATTTTTTATATTTTATTATCAAATATAATCAACATTTTAAAATCATTAACCAACATTACTTTAACAAAAAATTCTATTAAATAGATTTGTCTACTTTAAAATTAAGCAAACACATTAAAACGACATGATAAATCACGAAAACAAATTTATTTGATTTTCACGATTTTTCCAAGATTTCCGAGTTGTGTCGGATTTTTTCTTCTTCAAAAATGTAGAAGATAGATTTTATCTTAAGATTGTCAGAAGTAAAACAATCCGAGACGATAAAATACAAAGAAAAATCTTATTTAAATAATCGAAAGGAATATTATATAAGTAAATATACGTTTTTGACAGAATAACAGATTGAAACGAGTTGAGGTATGCAACTATGCAGTTTTCTTAATATAGATTTTCGACCACTCCTATGTTGCTTGAGATCATTGGTCGCCTGTCTCCTAGGATACAACAACTAGATGATCAGCTATAGTCATACTTGTGCAGAGATCATGAACTATTCCTAGCTTTCGTCTATCACCAAAAAAAGCTAGAGAAAAGAAAAAGAATTCTTTTAAATTATTTTTCTCAACAACGTTTGAATCAATTTCTCATTCAAAACCTAAAAATTATAAAATTCCCCCATATATATATACTTTAATTTACTAAGGTGGCAAGGTAGCTAGGTGCCATTAAAAGTGACATAAAAAACTTACCAATCAACATGTATCATAACTAATAAAATTGGAGCTATATATAAAACCGACTGGAAAATTAATAAATTCATCACATGTTTTCGAAAACGAAAAACAAAGAACAAAAGTCATTGTAGGGATAAATTTGTTAATTCCATAAATTAGTAAGGATAATTATCTAAAATACTTGAGACGAAATATAAATGGATAATAATACTCCATGTAATTTATTCATTGCTACAATCAGTTGCTGAAGTCCATGTGTTTCATTTGTTATATTAATTATGTATATAAATATTAATAAAAAATAAATAAATAAATAAAATATAGATTTTCAAATGTGATAAAACTCCAAACATATTATTTTAATCCTACCTACCATATTTCGACGTTTCATCTTATGTTTATTACATTGTCTTTGTAGTCATTAAACTTATTTTAGTTTATATCATATGTTTTATCGTATCAAAATTTATAATAAGATATGAACGTATCTAAATGATCAATAATCATAAAATAGTACTCTACCTATTGTTTTCTTCTTTGGTGATTCATACTAAATAAAATAATTTTCCAATAAATATTTAACTTCACCCTAACAAATTAATAAAAGAAATAAGAAATTTTAAAGATTAAATTTGTCACCAGTCCCTCTACAATATTTAAACCATAAATTTAGTTATTTTTAATTTATAATTTTTTGAATTATTAAATTTCAATGTCGGTCAAACACCACATAGACAATATAATTAAATTATGGTATTTAAAATAGTGAAATTAAAGAAGAATAGCTAAATCTAAAAACTTATGTTTTGTACATTGATCGCATAATTTAACTTCATAAATTTAAGGATAAATTATACAAATCGCCACTACATATAGGGTTAGTTTTTGTTTAGTCCATCATCTATGAAAAGTTGAAATATAATCACTTGATTTAAAAAAATGTATAAAGTTAGATTGATGGTGTTAAATTTCTAACGAAAGATGATGTGGCAGTTAAACAAAAAAATTATAATAACAAATCTGAACCTTAACCTTTAGACTTTATTTTAATTTGGACCTAGTTCTAAAAAATCAACCCTCTACATTAAAATGATAAAACCCTCCTTAAACTATAAACTGACTCTACACCAACTTCTAAATTGACTCCTTTATCATTTAGTCCCTCATCATTTGCCCTTGATTCAATAATCCCCCTTTTAAGATCCAATTAAGTCCATTTCTTTCTCAAGTAGGCTCAAACTTGCCTAACCAGTTTAATTATGTTATCAAATCAATCTACATACATCTAAGGTCAACTCTCATAGGTTGACTAAAAAAATTCAAGTCATTACAGTATCTGAATGCGGAAGGTTAAGTTTTTAGAATTATGATCAAATCGAAACAAAGTGTAAAGGTTGTGGACCAAATTTATTATTATACAAATTCTATTAACCCACACATCAAACGCCGTTAAATTTTATCGGGCCGACTCTTGGACGAAAATAGAATATAATTTAATGTAGTGACAATAAATAAATAATAAATAAAAGAATGAAGCCATAAATCATTTATCCAAAATTTATAATTACAAAGCAATGACAATAGCAGTGACGATGAATTAAGATCAAGATGACGACGGCAAGCATAGTCTGCACTTAGTTAATAATAGTCAAAAATATATATACCAAAATGATGTTTGATTTTCCTTTTTAAAATAAGAATGATTTTGCTGTGTAAATTGTTTGGTACACTAACTTATTAGGCTGTAATTAAAAACATTAGCAAATTAAACATGTTTTGTTTCCTTAAAAAGGTTAAAAATCACCTAATGATTGAAAGTTAAACTTTTCTATGGTTGGGTTGCTTCTTCCACTGTTCTTCCTGCATCCGACAGATTGGATAGCAAGACCTAAACCGACAATTTATACTAAATGCAAGGACTGAAAAAAAATAATTTAATAAATTTAACGGTTAATGTTTGTGTTAGATCTAAAAATTTGAAATTTTAAAAATATTAAAATTAAAAATGATTAAATTAGAATACATATACTAAGTCTGCAACTTAATCATAATATAAAAGCTAATAATATAATTTAACTGTTATATAAAAATTGTTATATCAATCATTTAAAATTGTTATGACAGATTATTATTATTCCTTGATGTTTCGGGTTCGAGCACTAAGAATATCAAGGGGTGTGAGTGTTCAATATTAATTGATTAACTTTAAACAGATGATACCTTATACTTACCTCGAATTAATAAAAAAAATGTTATTACAAAAATTATTAATGAAGTAATATTTATAAACACAAAAATTATTTTTATTATAATCATAACACAAACATAATACGAATATACAGATTATTAATATAACTTTCACCCTTGGAAGTGTTTCTTCTTTTCTCTCTACCTTTAAAAGTCTCTATATTAATTTAAAATTTAAAAAAATCCAAAAAATAACACAAAGGTCTAATTTATCCAAAATAAAATAAAAATAAATTTTAAAAATTAAAATAGGAAAAGAATAATTGGCATAATTTATTGAGGAAATTACACAGTGAAGAGCTTGCTTAAGCAAAGGATGGTGTTTGTTTTATAATCAATTTGTCAAATCTGTCGTTGTAATTAGTTGAGTTGTCCATTCATACCATTTCTTATATGGTACGAACAATTTGTATTTTCTTTTCCCCATTGGAACGCTGAGGTTTGGTTTAATAATCAGATTGACCCCTTTTTTCTTCCTGCACAAGCTACCCACCATTTACCGAAAATAATAATTCACTATAAATTTATAAATTATGAATGATACAAATATATGATATTGTATATATCTTAAAATTTGATATTTATATCAAAACTCGGAGTATTTCAAATAATTTTCTTAACATCAATCCCTATAAAATTGTGAACATCAAAATTTTATATCTTTATACAATAATTCTCTCTTGTAATTATGAAGGTTAAGACATTATCCGTAGAATCAAATACTTAGTCAATAAGAAAGTTAATTCTTTAAGATTTCTTGCTTAAAATTATTATTTACTTATTAAATTAACTTAATTATTAAATAATCTTCGACCATTAAAATTTAAAAAATAATTTAATTTTTAATTAAAATAAAGAAAAAGTTGGAATAAAATAAGACTTGATCATAATCATATACGATACATGTTATCATCCCATGATGTGTGACAAATTGGGAAGACAAAAAGATTTTTACAGTTTCACTATTACGTATCAAATCACAGAGAAATTTAACCTTAAAAACATCACTTTCTTGATAATTACACAAACCATATTCATCAATCTGAATCACTTTTCCTTCTGCTGTGAAATTTCAAAAGAAAACTACGCTTCAAACACCAATTTGGCTAATTTCCCAAGGAAGAAACGAGTTGTCTTCTTCAACCGGAAAAAAGGTATCATCCCATGACAGAAATGAATCCACACAATCAACCCATTGCTTTAAACAGTCTTCTTCTTGAGCCATTGAAAACGAAGACGTGTATGAAGAATGATCCAAGTCCAAGCTTCCACACAATACGTCGTAGTCATCCAAAGTCACTTGAATCTCTTCACCCCCCTTGCATGCAGCATCCTCGGACTCAGTGGCTGATTCAGAAATAATCTCTGAGCTTTCCTCGTGTTCTTTTTTACCGTCGATTTTCTCGACAGGCTTGTGTGTCACGGGGTCCAGACCAAGAAGCTTCAGCTTCTTCTTGATTTTGGTATTCCAATGATTCTTGATTTCGTTGTCTGTTCTACCCGGAAAATGGGAAGCGATCTTAGACCACCTAAAAAAATAAAAGTCCGAGATTAAGATCTCAACCTCTGTGATATATGGTCCTCCTTACACACGTGTAAAATTACGATGTATCATATTTTTACCTGTTTCCGAGATGAGAATGTAGTCGAATAATCTGATCTTCTTCGGATTCCGTAAACGACCCTCTCTTAAGATCCGGTCTAAGATAATTTATCCATCTTAATCTGCAACTTTTCCCACATCTTAAAAGGCCTGCATAGAATATAAAGTCAACATTTTGAGACCAAAAAAGCATAATCACAAGCACCTGATACTCAAGAAGAAGAACATTACCGGCAAGCTTGGGAACATTTCTCCAGCAAGGAATAGTACCATTGTTGAATATAAAGTTCATCAGTTTATGATCTTCCTCGATCGACCATGGACCTCGTTTTAATCCAACTTTATCACAACATGGTTTTCGTCCCATTTTCCAAGAAAAAACCTAGAAATCTAAAAAGGGTGTTAAGATGCAATGCTAGCTGATGTTGTTCAAGAAAAAAAGACAATTAAAGATGATGTCTTTAATTGAGACAATGGAAATGGTCCTTCATATATCTATATATATGAAGCAAACGCGGGTCGTTTTCGTTGACAAATTTTATTCGTGCAAGTAGCCTTTCTTCTCATTGGTTTTGGATTAATTTGTGTTGAAACCGAAGAAAGGTTTAAATCAGTTGCTGGGATTTATCTTCCTGGCCCCGTGTTGACGCTGGAGAGATTCCTTCACCTATATATCCAAAGTTATCTCAAATTCCAACCATCTACCTATTAATTACATTATAAAATGTTGATAACCAAATTATGATGATCCAAAAGGATTAATTCATATTTTTTAACATTATGGGGTGATTATAAAGTAATATATGTTCAGAACTTTCTTAATCAATCAATAATATATATATATATATATATACCATACAGACACAGCTACTCGAACTCAATATATCTAGGGAGAACAACACTCATTTTAACCACTCAGCTCACTTAATAAGTTCTAAGTCATAAAATTTAACATGATAAAAAAAGTGACAAATTTAAAAAATTTAGATTTTAGTGTCAAAATTTAAAGAAGTTTATACAATGTTTTTTTTAAATGAGACATGTCAAACAATTTATGTCAATTTTCTTAAAAGGTGTATATAGGGATTAACAGACATATAAGAGATTTTATGCTGGAAGTGAATTTATAATATTTAAAAAAATAATTTTTTATAAAATTTTAGGTGACGAAAATATATTATTAGTAGAAAAATGTAAAAAGTTATGAAAAATTTGACTTTTTAGGGAGGTTTGTCCCGATTGATTATTGGGTGTATCCAATTACTTTTAGAGTATATCAATATTATTTTGAAATGGTATCAATTTTATTTTTAATAATTTTATAGAAATTTTAAAAATTTCGGTCGTCTTTTGACACCTTTATTCACCATGTGAATAGACTCATGAGTAAAAATATTACAACCAAAGTAGACATAAAAGTCAAAGAAAAACAGCAACTAATACTCTTATCCAAGCTGGTAATGAGAATGGATAACTTAGTAGTCAAAGTTTTTACAAACTTTGGGTTAGAAAACAACAGGACTGAACTAAAAACTAAACCCACTAGTGGTTTCTCGTTTTAAGTCAAATTAATGGTGTTTTACTGAAAGCATTTATGTCTTCTTTCTCTTGTCTTTTTTAACTTTTATTAATATAATTTTCCACTGTTTTGGGTGGTTAAATGACTTTAAAGCTGTAACTAATTACAGGACCGACTCAAGATTTTTTTTTGTTAGGAGTAAATTTGAATTTTTGAAATTTTAAGGGATGAAAACAAATATTTAATAAAATAAATAAATAAAACAAATTAAAATATATAATAATATAAATTTTCGGGAGTGACTGTCCCACCTTAATAAATTTTTGGATTAACTTGAGATTAACCATTACTTTTGGCCAATAACTGACAAGCTTAACAATTGCTTGTCAAATTACTCTACGCTCAACACCAATGAATCTGGTGGCTTTTCCACAATAAACATTTTTTTAACAATAATAAACACCAATATTTAAAGAAAGAGATAAGGCACGACTGCTACTGTCTTTTGAGGTACTAAATTTTAACACCGCGGACGTAAGATTACGACGATTCATTATTAAATGATTGAAATTTTTTTTAGATTCTTAATTCCTAGTGTGAAGTAGAAAAAGAGGAATCAATAGAGAGATGATTCAACTCGACGAAGACTTAAAATTGGGGAGCGGCACTCCGGGTAGAACTCAACTCGGGTTCCCTCCAACTCACTGGATCAGTGTCAATTGCTGCTAACTCGGGTTCTTTTCTTCTTCTTCTTTCGAGTGTTTGAAAATGGACAAAAGTTACCTTGTTCTTCCCTTTTTCTTTTTCTAATTACTGGTGTATTTTCTTGGTTATTATTGATGATTGATTGTTCATATTTTGCAGGTTCGATTTATGATGAAGTTTTCCAGAGCTTGAAGAAGAACTAAAGAACTGAATTTTTTGTCAATGTATTGGTTAATTGAGAAATTATATGTTTTACTTTTGTTTATTGTCTAAGGATTAAATAGATAAAATTTTTAAACATTAAGGTTAAATTTATTTAACAATCTTAAATTATGATCAAATCGATAGAATATATAAATTTTAGGAACTAAATTTATTACTATACTATACCATATCATCAGGATAGACCGAGAGAGGTAGGTGGCGATAGTCACTCGCCTGAAAATTTAAAAATTATCATATATTTTAGATTTTTAATGTATTTTCTATTGAAAATATGTTTTTGTCCCCTACAATTTTATAAGTTCATGTTTATCCTCCAAACATAAAATCATGCGTCCCTCCTACATATTACCATCTTTATTAAGTTTTAAGAAAAACTTAATTTCTTTTTTGGTACAAAAAAGTTTAGGTCAGAGGTAGTTTCCCCAGTCCAGAGCCAGGGTATACCTAAGACCTAATTGAGATTTACATAGAAATTTACAGATTGTCCACCAAGAGTGAAGATAGTAGAATTTGAACTTACAAATTCAAATTCTTATCACTCAATCATTTGTACTAATATTCAATGTAAAGATTATGTAAAAGAATGAAAAGACAAAAGTACTATTAAATTAATTTACACTCTTAAATATATATTTTTTATAATTATATATTTAAAAGTTCAATTTCACAAAACTGATAGGATTTATAATTTTGTGATGACCCATGAAATAATTCTTGAAGTATTTCAAAATATCTTTGAGAAATGATTATCTCGTTTAATATGGCAATTATTATTGCAAGATTCTAAGGTTCATTTGTCATTAAAAATACGTTAAAATTCATATAATTAGATGCTATATGAAATAAATAAACAAACGTGAAATGGATGGGCAAATAGGTATATGATTAATGACGCAACTATATAATAATAATAATAATAATAATAATAATAATAATAATAATAATAATAATAATAATAATAATAAAAATAATTATAATTAAAAAATGAATAGTTCAACTTTTGACATTTGTTACTTGGATTTTCTATGTAAAACGATGGAGCTATTTGAACTATCTCCCTTAGTTGCTACCTTTGCCAATGAGAAAACATGGACTTCAAATAGATATTTGTTTTCAAGGTTGAGCTTTTAATTACGACTTTTATCGTTAATATTTCATCAAATCACATACAATATTTTACTCAATTCCTACATATGAGATAATTTTAAAGAAAATGAGATTAACTCTTATAAAATCATAATAATTTTCGCATAATACCAAAATTAGCCCCTAACGTTTACTAAAATGATCATTTTGCATAAAAAAATCCCCCTAACATTTGATAGAATAATCACTTTGGTCTTTATTTTTTTTCTATAACATTTTAGCCCTCAACGTTTTTTTAGTTAAAACACCCCTATTTTGGAGAGTTGATTGTGTGTTAACTAATGGTTTCCATCTATAGAGGGGGCTTTTTTGACTCGAAGTGAAGCGTTGGGGCCAAAATGACCATTTTAATACACATTGGGAGCTATTTTTGGCATTACCTAATAATTTCAAGTTTAAGTTTTTAGTACCAAATAAAATAAAATCATTTGCTTGACAGAGAAAAACACTTTTTTTTTTAGAAAAACAATAAATATCACTATCTTGACGAGGGAGGTTTGAAAATAATTGAGAATTGAGTTAATAAAAATACTACCATTCTCTCCACCTAACTTAACATTATGTCATTGGCATAGGTTGAACTTGAAAGTGATTTCTTACATAAAATAAAATAAAAATTGCTAAGTTTGCAATATCTATTAAATTTCATTTTTATCCTTACTTGATTTTTATTAGTTGTTGTGTGTCCCCAATTAATTTGGTGCACGTGGTTGAATCCATTGTTTAAAAAATACTTTTAAACTAATGAAAGTTGTACGTTGAGTTAAATGTAGAAAATACGATAACCCTTAACTTGTAATTAAAAGCCGACCCTTATCTTGATTATATTATTTTAATATTTGGTTAATTTAGTAATAAATGGATATTTGTAGGGTATCCCTTCCAACTCTTTTGTCTTGGTTCAATTGAGCAGCCCTCCACTAGTCATTAATCCATCAAAACCAAACAAATCTTCCTAACAAGTTTGGTTTATCAAGCTAAAATGACTTCCCTATTTTTATTTTGAAACTTGAGAAAAAATTTAAGTATTTCGCTTTGAAGCCTTACTTATATGATTGTTATTGTTTTGACACTGTATGCTAATAGTATTTTCATACCTAACAAATCCTAACATTATCAATTATATGATTTTATACTGTATGAAAGGGATGATAAATTTCTTAAAGATTATATAGTATTTTATCATCATATTACATGTAACATACCCAGAACATTCGACATGGCACGATTTCAATATGTATATATCAATTATAGTGATTAAAGAAAATGAAATAAAAATATATTTTTAACTTTATTCTAATTTTGGTTTTATTAAAATTTGATTAAGATTATATTATGTTATAAATATAATAAAACATAAATTTTAATGTTCATATATATATATATATATATATATATATATAATTGAAGTGTATTTGATTAAGAGTATTTGATTGAAGTGTATATACGAGCATAAAATTGAGAAATAGTTAATGCAAACACGCAGTTCTTGTGGTGTACGATTTAGTTTTCTTATTTTGTAAAATTAATTTTTAAAAAAACCCAGTAATTTGTTTATTTTATATTCTCTTCACGTAGGCTTTTCAAAGACCCAAACGTGCCTTCCTCAACTTGGAGATGACGTGGTAAAATCAGTGATTATGGGTCCAATGCTGAGAAAAAGATTGCGATCCACGTGTAGGAATACCAATGGATTGAAATCATGGAATCAATCATTTTTTAAACTTTGATATGATATTAGTTTTTTTTAATTGGATTGGTTTTGATTTAAGAATATATTTTTTTAATTTTAAATCTGATCTAAAATTTTTATTATAAATTTGACTTTAATTGGATAACACTTAAGTTTATTGATTTTAAG